ATGCTGCCAGACCTGTTGAGCTTTTCCAACAACTTCTGTTCTTGTTCCTGACTTACAGGATCCACAGTCTTGCGGTTTTTATTAGGATATTTGGTTGGCATGGACATGTTGGACTGAAGGATCTGCATCTGTGCTATATATGATCTTCTAAACAACATAAGGTACAATACATTTATATAAAAGGGAAAGATTAAGCCAGCTTATTTTCAGACCACTTCAAAAATACATCTGATGTGAATGCTTAAGAACTTTAGATTTTGTCCAGAATGTTTTATTTTGGAAAATCATTAGATGCTCCAAAAATAATCAAGTATTTTGTTTCTGACTTTCATCAAAGAATATTTATTGTGATACACCTCTCACAGAATTTCATCAGCTGGAGCCAACACTTCGGAGAACATCTTTTCAACTCTAACTTAAGCAGAACTTGTTTCCGGCACCAGAAAGGGGATGGTTACAACTGACCAGAAAGTAAAACGGGACCAGTCATAACAGATTCTGTGGCTACAAAAGCACGTCAAAGGCTTGGAAGTCTACATTAAGTAAACTCACCTCACGATTCTGTAAAGCCTGTCCACCATCTATAAAGGACAAGTCAGGAGTCTGTAATGATCAAGACAGTGGCGGAGGACAATGCTCCAGCCAGAGCTTGTCCACTCTGCCTGTTCTTCCTCTTTTTTTTTCCCCCTTTTACACCTTAGTGACATTTTCCCTTCCTTCTCTCCCAGCTTGCAACAATTCCCAGCCTCCGGCGACACCGCCCGGCCTGGTGTAGCAGCCTCCTGATCCTCAAGACGAAGACGGCATGATCTGGAGCCAGGGCCTGGTCCGGACTGGAGGCTAGGTGCCAGTGTGGTCTGGGTTGTAAGACTGTGGTTCTGAACTTCTATTTCTACAATGCTGGACATTTTATTTCTCGATTTTCCTACATCCTGTAACGAAGGAAGCCGTACCTCAGTGCCTTCTGTGGGATCGTGTTTCAAACAGCGACTGAAATCGGTGAGATTTCAGTCCGGGATCTGACATAAATCAATAATAACTACAGTTGGGATCACAACAATGAGCAATAAACCTAAAACTCACTAGTAATACTTAAATTAAACAGCTAAAAACTCCACAGACTAGTATGAATCAACAGTAATGGTGATGTAACTGGCTTTTACTTCCTCTACAAACTGTTCCATTTGTCCTGCTGACCAATTCTTGTTTGGAACAATCTTAGTTTCCTCCCAAAATATCTTTTTCTCTCCTCTTTAAGAAACCTGCAGAAAACTCAACTTTTCAACTAGGATTTTGACTTTCACTACCAATCTTTCCTTCCACATGCCCACGTGAAGTCCTTGCTTGTTAGTAGGCTTGTTTTTGAAATCTTACTCAATAAGTACAGGGTTTAACAAAACATTCTTGCTTTTTATTACAAAAGCACAGCATACATTCCACAAAAAAACATTTTGAAGTATAATAATTGTATGCTAAATTCAATTCTTGTACCTTAGCCTGCTGTGGGAATTCATTTGAACAGCAAATTGCAGAGAACAGCTAGATACAAACAATTCCACTATTTCAAACCTTTGCCCTGGCGCTCCTCTGGAGGAAGAAAATTGTTAAACAACAATCTGATTTCTACAATCTCAGTTACATAAAATCAGACAATAGGTCATCATCCTGTAAGAAAGTATTACATCAAAGTTTGTAATGGACCTGTGTCTGGTACTATGTAAATCACCTAGAAAAATCTGGAGATAATATCTGATTCACTCTCACTCACGTGCACAACATAAACTTATGTTACCATGTCCAATCAAACATATTTTCTTTCACAACTTTCAAAAAACATTATAACTCATATTCATGCCCTTACTAATCGCTCACTGCAATGCTGTTGAACTAACAGTTAACATCTGTACAAGAGTTCCACTGATTAAACACCACTTCATTCTCCAGCAATAGGACATCTGTTAGGATTGAACAATAGAAGTGACAGCTGAAATAGAAACATTTACAAATAGAAGCGCAAAGTTAGTAAGATGACAACGCTATTTTAATGAAGCCATTACACCAGTTTTAGGGTACTAATCTACAATATATTTACAGCATTGCTTCAGACACACAGCTACCTTTAAATTAGCCTCATGGTCGAAAAAGTTTGCTCAGTCCTTCAAATACCACCAAAATAAGGTCCCATAAAATCTTTAACTTGAGTTGGGATTAAAATACAACATTCTCTAGGTTGTAGCACTTTAAAAAAAGAACATAATACAATCTTTGTAATCTAGTTGTGATGTGCGCAAATTATTCAGTCACACGATCCAAAATACCACTCATTCTTTTCTTCTAACTCATCTTGAATCATAAATTGTAACTGGCAACATGTAAAAAGATGTGGTTAGGAAACATGTCTGCATTTTAAACTATTTATCAGCAAAAACTTAAAGTACACATTATAATTTCCTTACACCATTCAAGCTAAAAATACCTTTGGACTTAAAAACAAACATAAAAGATTATTAACATATTATTAAAAATGTATTAGACATCATTTACTTTACCCCTTGATTAGCACTTAAGTAACCTGTTCAGAGCTAAAAGCCAAAATAATCCTATTCTGGAAAAGAATTAGATGATATCAAAGCTTATTCCATGCCTGTATTTTAGACAGTGGTCTATTTTAGCAATATTTTTATAAGTAACATATTCCATGTTGATCCAGTGCAGCATTTCGCACTTAATCTTCCAAGGTATAATTGGGATTAACAACTAAGTAGGGATCCTGCTCCAAAACTTCATCACCTTCTCCTTTTCGGCTTTTCAGACCAGTCTGTTTCAATTCAATCAAGATATGGTCCTATCAAGAAATTAAAATACAAAATTACCTCAAGAAGAACACTGTGCAGTATTTACTTGAAGTAATTAATTTTCTATAGTTGCTATATTTATGGATTGTATTGTTTCCATGACTTTCAGCACCATGTTGCAAAACTATGTGTGGTAGACAAAGAGCACAAATTTATTATCTCACATGCAATAAAACAAATTTGGCCTGCCTCTTGTCTTAATTTCCCATCACCAGCAATCAGATCATTTTGCAGAGATTTAGTGGTTAATATTTAACTGGCAATTTGCACTTCAACAGAAAGAATAATTGAATAAAAGTTCAAGACAAGACATTCTAGGATAACAAACTAATCAGAAAGTACACAAACATCTTAAAAATTGTAACCCAGAAACCATAAGAAATAAACTAAACTGAGTAATGCACATGCAAGAAGTTTAGTTGCAAGTCTGTAATCATTTTCCAATCAGTAATTACGATCGACAGAACAGGTTTACTATTCAGGAGACCAAACAGGTCGAGCTATTTGAACATATCAGAATGGAGACATATTTCCCACTTACATAATGAATAAGTCTGTAAATAACTTTCTCAATTAATTTCTTTTTGTTAATTAGCTCTTCTTCCGATTCAATTTCAGACTCAATTTCTTTTAAATACCAGTTAATGAGTTCACTCTTCTTTGGAGAAGCATCTTCATCTTCTGCAGGTAAGAAGGAAGAAACAAACCAAGTTCATGATGTACAAATAAAATTTACTTGAAATGTTTTATTTTTCTTGAGTTAATTCCCCACTCATCTGTCATCCAAGGTGAGCTAAAGTCAAAGCATTTAACATGATTAATATTAATATTAAATGCAAGTACCAAAAAGTGAGGTACTTCTGCTCACTTTAGTCAGTTGTTCCAATGAACTCAATAGGTCTATCATAAAAAAATTGTTTTTCAATGACTTTCTACCCTCACTACGTTATCCAGAAGATCATATTCCAAATCTTTGTGAATTTCAGTCTTGGGAGGTATTATTCATTTGAACTAAATCATATCCCACCTGTTGTACTGATCTAAATGGATATCCTCCCAAACAGATGCCGCGGTCAAGGCGGCACAAAAACACCCCTTCTTCCTCAGAAGGCTAAGGAAATTCTGCATGTCCATAAGGACCCTCACCAACTTTTACAGAATACTTTCTATGGTGCATCACAGCTTGGTATGGCATCTGCTCTGCCCAGGACTGTAAGAAATTACACAAAGATGTGAACACAACCGAGACCAGCACAAGCCAACCTCCCAACCATGGACTCCATCTACACTTTGTTACCATGGAAATGCAGCCAAAGATTCCTCCCAAACCAGTTAAACTCTCTTCGAACCTCTTTGTCAGGCAGAAAATACAAAAGCTTAAACACAATTACCAACAGGTTCAAGAACAGCTACTTCCTCGCTGTTATTAGACTGCTAAATGGACCTCAAAATTTTAAATCTAACGTTGATCTTGCTGTTGTGCACCTCCTGTGCAGCTGTAACCTTGTATGCCTCACTCTGGTTAAACACCCTATGATCTGTATATCCTTGTGCCTGTATTTCATGCAAAAAACAAAACTTCTTACTGTACTTAGGCATGTGACAATAAATCAAAAAAGCTTTCCTGTTACACTTAGTATCTTGCATCATACTCATAACATCCATATTGGAAAAATCCAACTTTTAAAAAAAATGTTTCCTCATAATTCCATCCCCTCATACTAGCCATCAACTTCATTGCCCGTCTCTGTACTATATCTCAGTAACTGGAATTAAACCCAACAAAGAGCCTCACCAGCCGGCACATTCTGCACATGGCCCAGACATAAACGCTACAGATTTTTCGGGACTAATCAGCATTGCTACAATTTTAGTGTATCCATGACAGTGCGATTTAATTGATTTTTCAAATCTATCAAATACTGCACTTATCTATATGGAATCTCATCTGTCACATTACTGTTCACCTAAATATTATGTCGCTTAAGTGAGCAATCTGCTTTGCGATAAGTTTAGTTAACATCTTCGAATAAGTTTTACTAGTTAGTAGGAGGAGACTTCTCTAAAATAGTAAACATCCAAATTAGTCTGTAACAACTGAGGAGTGAATAAATTCCTTAACTTGGTTCCAATCCTCCACTAATCATGACATATTAATTTAACCAGGGTATATAGCCAGTTATAGAGGCCTCAGACTGTATTAGGAACAAAGCAGGCAGAATTCTTCAGCCAAAGAATAATCAGTTTATTACAAGTAAAGCTGACTCAAAGATGCAAAGAATGACAGTTTGGACTATGTAAATATATATTCGCATTTCCAAAATAAAACCGTGACATTCACATAAGCAACTGAGGACAAGTTCTCATACAGAATCACAACAGTACAAAGGGCCACATGGCCCTTTGCGTCACCACCAGCTCTGAACATTCTGACAATGCTGAATCCCTGCCTCCCTCTGCATAATCCTATTTCAAAAGGTCATCTAATGCCCTCTTGAATCCCTCAACTGAACTTGCCTCCACCATAACTCCAGACCATGCATATCAAACTCAGACCACTGGCTATTTGAAAATACGACAGCAGGGAGCAGAATAAACGAGCGCAAGTTTGTCAGGTAGGAGAAACATTTGTTGTATTGCTTCAGCATGTTGTGACAAACTGCTCTTTTCTTCTGCTTTCTAGGGTACCGAAAAAGAATCTATCACAGCCCTAAATATACACAAGGTCTCTGCCCCCAGTGCTTTCAGTGGCAAGGAGTTCCAAAGACACTGAACTCTCAGAAGAAATTATCATCTCCATTTAAATTGGCATCCCTTAATTCTGAGGCTGTGTCATCTGGTCCTAGACTCTCCCGAAGGGAAACATCCCCAAAGCATTTACCTGGTCAAGTCCCCTAAGAATCATGTATCAATGAGATCACCTCTTATTCTCGATTTCCAATGAGTAGAATCCAATCTGTTTAACTTTTGCTCATAAGACAATCTCTCCATTTCAGGGATCATCCTAGTCAACCTTCATTGAACTGCCTCAATGAAATAATAAATTTTCTAAAATCAGGGGACAAAAACTGCTCACAGTACTCCAGCTGTGGTACATGCTACTGCACCTTGCACAGTTTCAGTAAGACTTCCCCAATCTTATTTTCCAAACCCCTTGAAATAAAGGCCAACATTCCATTAGCCTAGATGATTACCTGCTGCACCTGTATGCTAATGTTATTGTGCAGTGCACAAGTATCCCCAAGTCCTTTTGTGTTGCAGCTTTTTGCAGTTTTCCTCCATTTAAATGTTACACTACGTATGCTTGCATGCCCAGTGTTTCGTGCGATTGTAAACTTATGATTTGGTGATATTCTCAGGCGACATTACACACTTTTGCAAGCTATTCCTGGAACACTAGTATGTAATTTCACAAAGCAAATTTGTCCTTTTACTTGAAGAACCATTTCTTGATTAGTTAAGACAGACTCTTAGTGCCTGTAAGCCAATCTGAAGGGACCAAAACCAGTGGAGTCATTGGGTGAATCTTTGGTGACAAACAAGAGAAGTTTCAGCTCTTTGTCCCATTTATTGGCAATGTTCTTTCTAAGCTGCGTGGCCCGATTCCAGAAGTTGCTGCTGTGCATGGACCTCAGAGGCCTGCACAGCTGGAAAGAAAATTAGAGGGTATGACGGTTGGAGGAGTACTCATCGCAGCATACCATAGTCATCACCTTGATGACATGACAGTTCTTCAAAATCTTGAGATTCCAGGTGGCAGGCAAAGGACTTAAGCTGTGTCATACCTAGACTACTCATAACTTCTTGAAAAATATTAGGCATAAAATTGATCACTTTGATCCCTATATGCTCAGGTATAGGAACTTACTAGGCTACCTTCAATTTCTCCCAGTGGTAAATCTGATCAACCACTGTCCACTCTTTACCTGCAGGTCTGTGAAGGGAATCTCCATTTTCTCATGGAGGGTTCAATTTAGACCAATCTTTGAAAGTCAAATGATAGAGTTGCCAGTTTGTGGTGCCAAATCAAGCTCTGCAACAGGGCTGGTTTGGCTATTGACTACACAGCAGAGACAAGACCAGGGTATTTTTCAGTAATGTCTCTGACGTAAGCCATTATCTCTGCCTCCATCAAATGACTTCCGAGAAGGCTGGCCCTGTCCAAAGATAAACTAATGACAATCCCCACCATTACCATTCTCAAATTAGGTTGCACTCCAGATGCACCAGATAACAAGAGAGTGTAAATATCCTCCACTGATACCACACTAAAACCTTGGCATTTAATGCACTCTCCTTGACATACACTGCAGTTTGCATAAGTTTAGAGTCAGCTTCCATCTGACTCTTTTCAACTATAAATATAGAATGGGGAAAAATGTTTCAGCCTTCAGCTGGTTCTTTTACAGTCACTCAGACAGACAACATAGTTACTATATGGAGGTGCCGATGGCATCTTAGATGTAAACTGGAGATTCTGGTTGGTGGGATGGTAGACAATGCAAATTTTTACTTGTATTAAACTACATTATACAATGAAACAACCGAGTAACTTGCATGTTACCTTCCTCTAGTTTTCGGAGATGGAGGACGATAAGATTGGAAATCTTGCGATATTCTACAAAAGACAGCCTCATTGAGAGTTTTGGTACGTCTTCCTTGATACTGTCTTCAGAATGGCCATTCACACCATTAATGCCATTTGGTATATCTGAAGTCCCTGTCAGAATGACCATTTATTAGTACATAGGGTACTAGATCCCATTGTTCTAAGTAAGCACTGTAAGCATTCAGCAATAATAAAATAAAACAAATCAAAATAAAGTTACTAATAACTTACTGGCATGATCATTAAATAATTAGCCTTTTAATTATTAAAATGAGTAAGAGGTCCATGCAGCAACTCATCAAATCTTAGCCAGAACATTTAAGGAAAACAACTTCACAGTTTGTGCCTGTATGACTATCTCAAAACTGTTGAGTTCTTTTATACACATTCCATTCAAAACATCTGAACTAGGGCTTTTCCACTGGGAATCAAAGAGAGAGAAAAAAAAAACTGATCTTTGTTACAAAGAATCCCAGCTTTGATAAAGCAATCAATTAATGTCAAAAATTGCTCTTGCTGTAAATTCTCTACTTTGTCAAATTTGATATTCCGAAAGATGCCACACCAACTAAATACCTACAACTCTACAGCCAGACATTATCTTGAAGCAAAATAAATCCAATATTACTACAATTGCTAACATCCTAGCCTGAGATTATCCATCACATGGACAATAGTTTTACATTTGCTGCCCCAAACTTCAGAATTAGCTCACAAATTCTAAAGCATACTTATTTTGAAAACTCTTTGTGGGTGCGCTGAGCACTGGCAACGGGCACTTTAAATTTTGCTTCAACATCTACAAAGGGTCGAACTAAGGGTTAAGGTGACCACAAAACAACTCTTTGAGGTTACAATACCAACTTACTTAGTCACGCAAGATCGTAGTTCAAAGTGAAACTGATGTACGATTTGAAAAGAAAAATGGTCGAAGAGGACAGAATTCAAAATTTCATCCACCCCCCACAAAAAGAATGCAAGTCCACCACAGATCCTGCAGAACAATTAATCGTACAAAATTTATCCGTAAGAGTTTTTTAAATTTATTAATGTTTTGTGGGCATCACTGGCTGGGCCAGCATTTATTGCTTGCCCTCACTGTCCATGAGAAAGTGGTAGAGAGCTGTTTCCTTTCAATGCGCCAGTCAGAATGCTATAGGTATACTCAGAGCTGTTAGAAGGGGAACTGACACAACACCAAAGGACAGCGATACATTTCAAAGTCTGTGTGCTGAGTGGGTTTGCTGAGGGGAATTTGCAGCTAGTGGTGTTCTCATTTATCTGCTGCCCTAAGCCTGATAAAAATGGAAGTGCTTGTGGGTTTGGAAGGTCACTTCTAAGGACGGACGGTGAGTTGCTGCAGTGCATCTTTTAGATGGTACACACTACTGCTAATGAGTGTTAGTGGTGGAAGGAGTGGATGTTTGATAGGGGCAATGCCAATTTTGGATTTGTTCTGGATAGTGTCAAGCTGCTCGAGTGCTGTTAGAGCTGCAGCCATCCAGACAAGTGGGGAGGATTCCATCACACTCCAGATTTATGCCTTGTAGGTGGGTTTTGATGAATTAGGAGGTGCGCTACTCGCAATATTCCTAGTGTCTTTGTGCCAGGTATGACTCCAGCCAGTGTAGTTCCCTCCCACCCCGGATTCCCTTTAACTCCAGTTTTGCTCGGGTTCCTTGATGTCCTAATCAATCAAATGCAACCTTGATGTGACGGGCAGTGACTCTCACCTCTGGAATTCAGCTCTTTTGTCCATGTTTGAATTAAGGCTGTAATAAAGTCAGGGGCTGCGAGGCTCAGATGAAACACAAACTGCATTGGAGAGTAGATTGTTGCAGAGTATGTTACTTTGCTTTTTAAGAAGGTTGAAAGAAGAAAACCAGGGAATTATAGACCAGTTATCCTACCACCTGTGGTGCAGAAAATGTTGGGAAACTACTATGAAAGATGGGCTAACCGAACACCTCCAAGATTTTCAGTTAATCAGGCACAGCCAGCACAGATTCATGGCGGGGAGGTCATGCCTGAAAGACTCAGTAAATTTTTTTGCAGCGGTGACTAAGGCATTGGACAGGGAATTGTCTATGGATGTTGTTTATATAGAATACAAAAGACTGATGACTAAGATAAAGGCCCATGAAATTAAGGGCAAAAAATATAGATAATTATAGATAGATGAACTATTTCCACTGTTTGGGGATTCTAGAACTAAGGGGCATAATCTGAAAATTTGGGGTGGATCATTCAGGAGAGATGTGAGGAAGCACTTCTACACAAGGGTGGTAGATATTTGGAACTCTCTTCCACAAATGGCAGTTGATGCTAGATCACCTGTTAGATTTTAAATCTGAGATGGATAAATTTGTTAAGCAAGAGGTGTAAAGATATATGGGCTCAAGGCAGATATATAGAGTTAGGCCACAGATCATCTATGATCTCACCTGTTTTGCCAATAAAGACTCAATGGGCTGAATGGCCTACTCCTATGCTCATAAGCAGGTGCCGCTTGATAACACTGTTGATGGTATCATCCATATCTTCCATCATTTTACTGATAATTGAGTGTAGGCTGATGGGGCAGCAATTGGGCAGGTTGGATTTGTTCTGCTGGGTGCACACAGGATGTACCTAGGGAATTTTCTACATTGTCAGGTAGATGCCTGTGCCGTAGCTGTACTGGATCAGAAGTGTCCTAAGTTCTGGAGCACAAGTCATCAGTATCATTTCTGCAAAAATCATGAACCTTGACAGCATTCTAATGTCCAGTGCCTCCAATCACTTCTTGATATCACGGACTGAACTGAATTTAGCTAAAGACTGGCATCTATGATGCTGGGGGCTTCTGCAGGAGGCTGAGATGGATCATCCACTTGGCACTTCTGGATTAAGACTGTTGCAAATGCTTCAGCCATATCCTTTATTCTAAATGCACCGCGCTCCCCCATCATTGAGGATGGGGATATTTGTACAGCCTCCTCCTGAATTGTTTAATTATCACCACTATTCATGATGGGATGGGTGGTGGCTGAACTGCAGAACTTGATTCTGATCTATTGGTCGTGGAAATGCTTAGCTTTGTCATTTAGTATGCAAGAAGCCCTGTTTGTAGCTTCAGTAAATTGACACTACATTGGTGGATATGTCCAGCGCTGTTCCTGGCTGCCCGCTGCACTCTTCATTAAGCCTGGGTTGATCCCTGGCTTGACGATAACAGTGGAGTGGGGGATATGCCAGGCCATGAGGTTGCAGCTTTTGTTGGAGAATGATTCTGCTGCTTCTGATGGCCACAGTGCCTCCTAGATGGCTAGTCTTGAGTTACTAGATTTGTTCAAAGTCTGTCCATTTAGCATGGTGATAGTGTCAAACAACACAACTGTATTCTCAGTAAAGGTGGGACTTTGTGGTGGTCACTCACTGATACGGTCGCAGGCAGATGTATCTGCAATAGCCAGATTTCAGAGGATCAGGCCAAGTATGTTTTCCCCTCATTTTGGTTCCCTCGACAGACCCAGTCTAACAACAATGTCTTTGGGACTTGACGTGTTTGATTCGTAGTGCTGCTGCAGAGCCACTCATGGTGATGGAAACTGAAACCCCCTCCACCCAGGGTTCATTTTCTGCCGTTCCCACCTTCAGTGCTTCCTCCAGGTTTTGGTCAGTCAAGGGAGAACATTACATGATAATCAGCAGGAGGTTTTCCTATCCATGCTTAACCTGGTGCCACAAGACCTCATGGTGTCTGGCATCGATGTTGAGGACTCCCAGGGCAACTCCCTTGGTCCCACATACCACTGCGTGGCCAGTTGTTCTGGGCCTGTCCTGCCAGTGGGACAGTCATATTTAGGTCAGAGCCAGTAAGGATGGAAGGTTCCTTCCCTAAAAAGGATACAAGTGAACCTGTGGGTTTTTCCAACATGTGACATTAGTTTCAAGGTCAGCATCAGACTCTTAATTCCAGATTTTTGTTGAGTTCAAATTGCACCATCTGCAATGGCAGGATTCAAACCCAAGTCACCAAAACAATACCTGGGTCTCTTGATTAATAACTGAGTGCTAACACCACTTGTTCATTGTACGCATGTGAAAGGATAAACTTTAAAAAGGAAAAATATCAATATTGTGTTTAACTTAGTTGAAAATTAGGGACAACATCTGAATAGGTCACTTGCTATGCCAACATAATAAAAGGCAGAAGTCCAAAATAGATTCTTAGAGACCAAGGTAGAGGATGGAATATCAACATGTACAGACATCTTAAACATCTGGATTATAGATTATTCCTTTCTGGTGAAATTAAAAAGTCAGCTTACCATCATGGATTTCCTGCTCCATCTCCTCCCTTCCTTCATCATCTTGGTCAAAATTTACGTCTGGAGTTTCCACTCTAATGATTGATTTGTTCAGTAACCGGAAAGCTTCCTTTACATGCTTAGGTTGTACCTATAAAGCACAAGTAAAAATTCAGTACATGTTCCTTTTTTGGTAGCACTTTGCTTAAAATATACTTTCAACAATCTTAAACCTCTTGAAACACAATCAAAAATAATAATTTAATAAAAATGTTCCATGTATTTTGATATAACACAGCAAACCATTACCACGAACAATTTTATAGATCATCCAACTGTAGCTGCAAATAACTGCCAGAAGAAGCATGCAAGAGATTTTCCCAAATCTCAGGTGGACTATTAGATAGGAAGCTCAAGTAGCACAGTTCTCTCAAATAAAAACCTGGCAGTTGAAAGGAAGTAGGCAGATACATGACTTGAACATCATCAAGTGTGTAGTTAACTATTATTATTTTGGCCTTAGGTCTGCTCGGGAAAAGTATCTGCGTAGCTCGGTAGAATATTTGAATAGGCGGTCGGTGTACTACTTAAAAAGGTAGTCAGGCAATATGACTTATGACAGTTTGCGATAGTCATGCCAGGGCCACAATTATTTGCAATATATTTTAATGACTTAGATGAGGAAAGTGAATTTACAATAGCTAAGATTGCAGATGACAAAAATGGGAAGGCCAAGTGGTGAGGACTACACAATACACACTGATAATAGTCAGGTTAACTGGTTGTCCAAAAACTCAGCAGATGGAGTATAAATGTGGGAAAGTGAATTATACTTTATAAAGGAAGAACAGGAGCTGAGTATTATTTCAATGGAGCAACATTCTGTAGCAGAAAGCTACAGAAGGATTTGGAAGTCCCCATGCACAAATTACAAAAAGCTGATAATACGGGAGTCAAACGGCATGTTAGTCTTTATTTCAAAAAGAACAGAATATAAAAGCTGTAAAAATGCACTAGTCAGACAACAGTTGGAAAGACTGAACAATTCTGGGCTCCTTATCCAAGGAAGGAAATTCAGGCATTCGAGGCAGTTTGGAGAAAGTTCACTGGGCTGATCCTGGGCTTGGAGGGACTGTTTTACACAGGGAAGTGCAGTAGATTGGGCCTGTACTCACTGGATCATACAAGAATGACAGTTGGCCTTATTGAAACATACAAGATTATCAGAGGACTTGACAGGATGGATGCAAAAAGGTTGCTTCTCCTTGTGGGAGAGTCTAGGACCAGGGGGGCATAATCTCAGAATAAAGAGTCGCACCTTTAAGACACAGCTAAAGAATTTCTTCTCTCAGACAATAGTGAATCTATGGAATTCTTTATTGCAGAGGGCTATAAAGGGAGAGTTCTTAAGTATACTTAAAGCCAAGTTAAAAGATTTTTAATCAGTAAGAGAATTGAGTGTCATAGAAAGTAGGGAGGGCAGAATTAGCAACAATGCACAGTCCAAAGGAAGAGGAAAAGTCTCTTAATTGATTAATAGTTACCTCATCACAGCAATGCATTCTGGCCATGGATTCAGAAAGTCGAATCATACTCTCCAGCTGACGCACTGTAATTCGCCATGCTGACTTAGTCACTCCAGAGCCATCCCTCTGACGAAGTCGTCTGTACTGTTCCACTATGAAGTCTTCGGATTCTTTTGAAATCTAGAAAATTAAATCCTTGGGAAGTTATGATTAATACAGTTTACACAATCGGCAGTCCATTAAACTTCACACTGCATCAAGTGACTGACCTTTGGTTTGAACTGCCTTGCAAATAACAGGTACCTCCTGATATCATCTAAAGAGTAGATCCGCTCGATAGATTCTTGAATTCGAGAATGCAGGTCCACAATACGCCTAGCAATGGCATAATCTGTTACCTAGATCATAAAAATGACATTAATTTCTTTAAATTGTTTAAAAATCAAAATACTGGCTATGAAATAAAGCACGAAAAATGTGATATTCCCACCTCATTGCACTCATCAACCAGAATGAAGAACAAATCGAATCGAGACATAATTGGTGCCGAGAGATTTACATTCTGTTTGAGAGACTTTGAACGATCATACCGTCCAGCAACTGGGTTTGCTGCAGCCAAGATAGAAGTCCTGGCATTTAAAGTAGCCTAAAAATAAAAAAAAAAGATTTTGTTTTAGATTTTAGCTTTTAATCCATTTAAGGTAATACATAACCTACACCAAATTACACACTTAACACACTTTTCCATTAACTTCATCTGTTAGTGTCCACTGTAAAGTGCTCAAGAAATTAATTTCCATTTCCTAACAACTGAGAGAAAGAACAAGCATCTTCCCCAACAAGAAATGAAGTAGGAACTCTCATCACTTGCATTTAAATTTTTATTATCTATCCTGCACCTACTATTATCTCAAGGTTCCATTCACCACCTTTGATAGATTTTCATTCGACATAAACTGAAACGTTGAGTATAGTTAACTATGTCATAACTGGCTTTACCAAATGGACAACTTTTGGATGGTTTCTAGTAACTTTTTCAAATATTGTAGCGTAATGCTGCAGAATGAAAGTGAAAATTAAAATAGGATAACAGACCTAGTGGCAGGGAAAAATAACTAACGAGATCGGATCTTAGTCATCATGTCCAATAAAGTTCTTCAAAGTGTTGAATATATTTTTAATATATGCACCGGTATCAAGGTAGTGTGTGAATGTGGGCTACTAGCAGATACAAGCTAGAAGAAGGGAAAAGAGGAGATATTGAAAGGAAGATCAGCAGTTATCCTCCACTTAGAACACAAGAAAAAGAATATTAAGCAAGGCTGGCTAGCAATGCTGCTGCTCAGCGCCAAAAACCTGGGTTCAATTCCACCCTTGGGCAACTGTCTGTGTGGAGTTTGCACATTCTCCCCGTGTCTCCATGGGTTTCCTCTGGGTGCTCCAGTTTCATTCCAGTCCAAAGATGTGCAGGTTAGATGGCTTGGCCATGCTAAATTGCGCATAGTGTCCAGGAGTGTGTAAGCTAAGTGGATTAGCCATGAGAAATGCAGAATTACAGGCATAGAGTTGGGGGTGGGTGGGATGCTTTGCGGAGGGTCAGCTTGTAATCGATGGGCTGAATGGACATCTTCCACACTGTAGGGATTCTATGCTGTCAGAGAATACTTAAAAATGATAAAAATCTTTACTCATTCTTAAAATTTCACTCTGCCAATTTGCTTTTACTACCCACATAAGCCATCAACTATAATTCATTCTCTTCAGATTCAGTTCACAGTAACCAAGATTCAAAAAATAATTTAAACAAGTTACTTTGACTCCAGCTTTTGTGATGGATATGGTTTGTTGTTCCATTGCTTCATGTATAGCGACTTGATCTCTTGAATCCATTTTATCAAATTCGTCGATACAGCAAACACCCTATAAGAAAGGAGTACTTAAAGACATAGTGTATGTTTCTATGCTGAAAGAGTCCAATAATTTACAAGTGTGAAGACATTGGAATAAAAAGAAAATTCCACAAGTCCAAAATTTAGGATACGCATCAATGTAAAAGGAAATGTTGAGTGTAGTTAACTACGTTGTAACTGGCTTTATCAATAAGGCAACTCTTGGATGATCTCTGGTGGCTTATCCAAGTATTGCAGCATAACACTGAAGAATGAATGCCAGAGGACTCCCAATTCAGAGATTATCACATACACCATGACTAAAATGCTTATTAGCTTAGCAATCAAAAATCTGTAGTCATAAACTTTTAGATTCAATCACAGACACTTTAAAACTAACAATTTCAAACTGAATATACTTGGAAACAGGAGTGGGCACTTTAAGCCCTTAAACCTGCACTGCCCATTAAAATGAAACCATAGCTTAAGTGCGACCCAACTCATAACATCCAGTTTTACGTCAATAATGAGAAAACTGAGAGGCCATAATATGGGAGGAGGTGAATAGACACAGAAAAATAAGTTAATACTAGACAGTCAACAACTTTGTCGAGGGCAGGTTATGTCTGACGTATGTGAATGGAGTTCTTTAATGAGGTGACACAGGCAGTGGATGAAGGTAGTGCTGTGGATGTTGAACATTTGCACTTTCAGAAACCATTTGACAGAATACCACATGGCAGGCTGACAAGCTAATTTAAAATATTTGGGATTGATGGGTCCTTGGCAGCATGAATGATGTGTTGGCCAGAAGATAGGAAAAAGGGGGTTTGTAAATGGGCATTTCTCAATTGGAGACAGATTGAAAGTGACGTTCCCCAGGGATTGGTGTTAGGAAGCTTGCCTTTTCCGATTTATATAAAATGTTGAAGATGGATGGTGAGGACAAAACCTCCGAATATGCAGATGATACTAAGCTAGAGAAAATAGAGGATGATGCTGAGTGACATCAGAGCGACACTGACAAGTTGGCCAAATAGGCAGATGCCTGGTAGATGAAATGAAGTCATGTATTTTGGTAGAAGAAACAGAGACAACACGGATTCTTTGGCACAACTTCGAGGGGAGTACAGGAGCAGAGGGACTTTGGGGTGCACATGCATAATGCTCCAAAGGTGGCCAGGCTAGTTGAAACGCTTAAGGTGGCTTATAGGATTATAAATATTGGCAATAAAGCAAGGAAGTGATGCTACACCTCTACAAATCACTGGACAGACCACATCTAGAGAACAGTGTTAAGTTCTGGGCACCCTATTTAAGGAAGAATGTTAAAGCCCTGGCGAGCTAGTGCAACAGAGATTTACTAGAATGATACCAGGAATAAGGGATTTTAGACCCAAGGAAAGATTAGCGAAATTCTCCTTGGAGCAGTGAAGATTAAGAGGTGACTTTACGGAGGTGTTCAAAATTATGAACAATTTTGGCTTAGCAAAGAACCATATTCTGTTCCCACTAGTTGGTAGATCAGTAACTAGGGTCACAATTTCAAGATTGTCAGCAAGACAGTAAATGTCTACTCAGCTGTTAGGTTTTGGAATGTGCTGCCTGGGATAGTGCGGGGAGGTCCTTTCAAAAGAGGGAAGGATACATATTTGAAAGGTGATGAATTTAGAGGGCTATGGAAATAGAGCTGAAGAGTGGGACTAGATAGATAGCTCTTTTAGGAACTGGTACACACAGTATGGGTTGAGTGGCTTCCTTCTGTACTGTAAAGTTCTATGGTTCTATTTTTGCCCAATATCCCTCCACAAAAACCTTTCACGCCCAATGAGAACTTAATTGGTACAGTACCATTTAATATTTGAGGAATGATTTCCAAATCTTTATCATTCTTCGAGTAGACATGTTCCTAACTTCACTTCTCGTAAATCTGGTTTTTTTGACAATGGGAATTCAGTACTGCGCAATCAGCCGAAATAGCTTTTCCTCAATATACTGAAAGCTCCAATCAAAATCAATTCTTAACTGTCAAAATGTCAGGACAACAAAACCCTACAACCAAGAACATATTATGCAGAATGCCCCTACATTATCAGCAAGCATCAATGCTCCAGCTTCAATGACAAATTCATGTGATTCTTCATCCTTCACAACAGCAGCCGTGAGACCCGCAGCAGTGCTAGCTTTGCCGCTTGTATACACTGCTCGGGGACTGAATTCCTCCACATGCCTGTTTTAGAGAAAAAAAACAAGCATCTTTAATTTATAAGTATTAAACTAAACAAAGCTATAAGACCTTTGCATACTGCACACAAACATGTTCTTTTGCTATACTTATCCATATGGTCATGCTCTGCTTAGCTCAGAGGCTAAATAGTTAATGTGCTTCGAGGACTAGGTTTATTCCACTGGAGAATTAAGTCAATATAACCCACGGTGAATTCTCTGTTATCCCTACCCATGGCAAAGATTTCAGCTCCAAGATATGCATTTAATTAATAATATTGGATAAAGAATCAAATCAATGCCAGACCATCCAACTGTGCAGCACTGAACATTCATACCCATGGCATTTTTGGTTAAATGTTACTAAAAACTCGTTGATTGCTGCTCTCTCCATTCCCCTTCCCCATTTATAAGATTATGAAAACAGTTATTTAATCATAGCAGCACGAATATGTAAGGCATGAATTCTTATACCATAATCATACATTTTTAGAAGTATTAAAACATCTAATTATAATAGCACTACTGAAATAATAGTTGGGCCACAAGTGGTTTAAAAATACTGATTGTCAAAAAGAGTACTTGTGATGTCAAAGATTAATATCTTGGCTTGAAAGGACTTACTTAAGGAACTGGCTTTTGGCTGTGCTTGGGTCGCCAACAATGCAAACATTAATATCACCACGTAACGAAGTACCCTCCAAGGTAGTTTTTGGAACTCCTCCAAACAGCATCAGTAAGACTCCACGTTTTACTTCATCATTACCTGGAAAAAAAGAGAAAACTTGAATTTTGTGATTTCTAGGTGCTGCACCACAAGAATAATGGAGCAATAGCCTTTACTTTAAAAAAATATCTCAAATGAAGCATTGTAAAAATACACAGCAACAATATTTAAAGATGCTCATTAAATGCCAATAAATATTACTGTGCTTTTATAGCAATAATTAATTTTGGCCATTTTTGAAATGATTAACTTAGGATCATCATTCGGGGTGAAAGAAATTTCAACACCAGCTAATTAGGAACTGTTCACATCAAAAAGAAAACATTTAAAAAAAAAGCAAATACATTCACGAAATGCCACTTCTTACCATGAATAGTAGGGAAAAGACTTGTACAGAGATTATGATACAGATTCTTATCCTGACTCATTTCAAACACTTTCTCCCATTCCTGAACAGTCATCTGATTTTTAATACTTTCTGCAGTCTGTTCTTCTTCTCTCATTTCTTTACCACCAAACTGTATTTTTTAAAAACAGAAAGCAAACAGTTTTAATGCAAGATCAAGCTAGACTACATCTTTAAAGATGTACAGATGAACTCAGTGCTACTCGAGACCAAATTATAAATGCAGTTTCAGAATCTTTCTAAATACAGAAACAAATTCTATGAAAAGAGATCAACAAAAAGAAAATCAATTATGTCTGTAGTGATCTTAACTGCAAACCTAGAATTTGCAATAAAGCATGAGACCACTCTTGAAACTTTCTCGATTTTTCTTTTTTTCACTTAGAACACATACACTTTTTGATTTTATTCATTAGTAACTTTTGTCTAAAGAACCAACTTTAGTGATAATTCACTGTCAGACATGGCTTCGTTGCTAGCACTCCTGCCTGTGTAGGAGGTTCTGGGTTAGAATTTACTCCAGGAACACGGAAAGGAAAAACAAAGCTGACACTTGGTCCTGGTTAATGTCCTCACCAAAACTTTTCCCTCAAAGTCACAAAAACAGATGTTCTGGTCATTATCATGTTTACTGTTGTGTGGAAACCAGCTGCTGTGTTTTCTGCAGCAAAGGAGCAACAAAAGTACATCACTGACTGTTTGGAAAGATTCAGTGATTGTTAAAAAGGCATTATATAAAATGCAATCCTTCCTTCTTTAGTGCAAGCAGATTGATTAATGCACTCCAAAACTCATGCCATGGCCCAGACAGATGGTGGCAAAAGCTGCATGCCACAGAACAGAGTAGCAGCATAGGCAACATTTAAATGAGTTATAGTTTAGTCTAAAATGACAAGTTAAAAATCTGAACATTTTGTTATATATGGACAGAGACTACAAGTTCAGGACCATTTTCCAATGGCGTGATCTTGAAACGTTGATAACATGCAAAAACACTGACCTAGATTTCCAAATTGTAAATAATAGAATAACTGGGACTCAATACAATTAGTCGATATTGCAACCAAAACTGTACCATAGATACAAGGAGAAAAAGTACCTTCAGGGTTATTAAATTCTCATGGTCTCTAATGCAACATTTAAAGACAACAAAATACACACCCGTGGGTTTGTCTGTGCCACATGGCATGCCAAGAAGGCTAGTTTGTAGGACAGATCACGCACACCTAAAGCACGCAGACCTCTGACTCCTTCTGTTTCATACCCTTCAGCACCACTGACACGAGATCCAGTTTCAGCACGGATGCCTGAATAAATACAAAAAACTTCTAATCAATAATGGTTCTCTAATTACAAGACATCACATTTCTTTAATTACTACATAACAAAAATTCTTTATTACCACTGCTAGAAATGTTATGTTACCAGTCTGATGGATAACACTGGCTGGAAAGTAATCAGCACACTACCATCCAATATGGCGAGGGAGAGCAATGAAAAGAGCATGCAGAGAGGGAGAGACCGAGCAAGAGACTGGAGAGCGGATGATATGCAATGTAATAAAAAAACCTGCGATCAGAGAAGGAACTCAATATCTGGTTATCAACTGCTGTCTGTACATCACTCATAGAATACAAGCAATACTGTTAAGGTAAGAGTTTCAATTCTTTATACAGAATTCTAGAATTCATCAATAATGTACAAGTGAAAATATCAGCAACGCAATAGTATGCTTCTAAAAATAACAAAACATTTAAGTCCAAAATACTGAATTCCATTGAGATTAGACAGCAAGTTAGGTGATGTCAGTATAGTTGTTTAGCTAAAAAAACATACAAAGAACAAAGAAGATTACAGCACAGGAACAGGCCCCTCTGCCCTCCAAGCCTGCACCAACGTGCTACCCATCATAACTAAAACCCCCTATCCTTTCGGGGACCATATCCCTCTAGTCCCAACCTATTCATACATTTGTCAAGACGCCCTTTAAAAGTCACTATAGTATCAGCTTCTAATACCTCCTCCGACAGCGAGTTCTAGGCACCCACCACCCTCTGTGTAAAAAACTTGCCTCGTACATCACCTTTAAAACTTGCCCCTTGCACCTTAAATCCATGCCCCCTAGTAACTGACTCTTCCACTCTGGGAAAAAGCTTCTGACTGTCCACTCTGCTATGCCCTTCATAATCTTGTAGACCCCTATCACATCACCCCTTGACCTCCATCGTTACAGTAAGAATGGCCCAAGTTTCTCCAACCGCTCCTCATAGCTAATGCCCTCCGTACCAGGCAACATCCTGGTAAATCTTTTCTGTACCCTCTCCAAACCCACTACATCGTTCTGGTAGTGTGGCAACCAGAATTGAACACAACATTCCAAATGCAGCCTAAGGTTCTATAAAGCTGCAACATTACCTGCCAATTTTTAAACTCAATGCCCCGGCTGATGAAGGCAAGCATGCTGTATGCCTTGTTGATGACCTTCTCCACCTGCACTGCCACTTTCAGTGACATATGTACCTGTACATACATAGATCCCTCTGCCTATCAGTACTCTTAAGGGTTCTGCCATTTACTGTAATATCCAAATGGATGAAGAAACAATTTTTAAAAAGTGATGGGCTATTCTACTGGTTGATAGAGAATTCTGTGAATAAGTTATATCAGTATGATATTTATAACTTAAATATTCCCAATCAAAATACACCAATCCTCATTCGTTTATAAACCTTAGCTGCATACATTAAAAACAGCACATATTTAGTTTCAAATGACTAATTCATTGCATACCTGGTGTAGTCAGTTGAGATACATCAGGAACCACAATAAGCATTCCCGTGAAGTCACATTTATCACCAGCTTGTGCTGATTCTACAGCTTCTGCACGCAAGATAACTTCCACACTGCGGGGAATGCTACCTCTTGGTAACTCAGCTTGAGTTTCCTGGATACGAACCTGAAAAGACATGGCTGTGCAACTTAATCAAATGACACAGGACGGGAAAGACAGTCATTAGGTACTGTAACATTTACGTTTGGCTCCTTTAAACTCATAATTCAGGAACAATTCCCATGAAATTTCTACTTAAAATGGTTTTGAATCTTTCACCTAAATATCTAGAGAATACTCAAAAAAGCACAAGACAGTAAACACTTTATTTCGTCATTCAAGATTATATTATCAATTTTATTTAATCAGTTTATATTTGGTATTCTGTACACTTTTATTTTAGAACATTTGTTTTCCCAAAAATTAAAACTACAGCTAACTTGTCAGGTATGAGGTCAGCAGCCTGCACTACAAGCAATAAAGCACTGAATGCAAGTGAAAACTCAAATTCTAAGTACACATAGTGAAAAAATTAATTATTTGTATAATCATGTGCCCCAGAATATATAAGGCAGAAATCTGAAATCTGCGCCATGTGGACCAGTAGAACAATAACATTTCAATACAACTAACTTCAAGAATATTCTCTGTAATCACAGGATTTTGAAAAAAAATTGTTACATTATTTCTGTATCACCAGTAATGGAATATTATTTCAGATATGTAGTTGCCTGGTCAACAAGAAAGAGAGAAATTGCTCCCCTACCTTTGGCTTAATGGTGATTAAACCATGCAAATTGAAAATAATCACTGTTATTTTATACCTCTCACCCTATTTGGGAGATGGGGTGGTGAAAGAGAAAGTCAGTGGGGAGAAAGATTATGTCCTGCCACCCTTGGCGCTTTGGCTACCATTTTGAGATTTACATGATGCTCATTGTGCAAATCAGTTTAATAATGGCAGATTTAAAACACATGAATTTAATTGTAAGTATACTTATACAAGTTTTGCTTTAGATACTACACACTGAAATGTGATACAATATTAAACTCTAAATAAAATCCAGTTGTACTCTCACCTTCTGAAAGTCAACAAATCGTGATTTATTAGTGTCCAGCATAAATCGTCTCCTGTTGGCACACACTGGATTTCTGCAGATATTTGGCTGGGTGTATTTGAACTGTTGCTCTACATCCTTAATCACCGTCTGACAGTCGAGACACATAAATGTTCCACTGACCAATTCTGGGTGAACAGGATGGGTCCGGACAACTTGCCCGCTGATGCGTAGCAGGGTTCCAATTCGTGCTGCTGTCAGTTCTCGGATTCTGGATTAGAACAAGGAGGCAGCTGGCTTAGTCTTTGATCATTTTTGTGGTTGTTTAAGAATGACTAAACCTAAACAGATTTAAACCTTCAATTATATATTATTTTCTTGCTATAAACTTATTTGATAATTTTGCAAACTTAACTAAACCTACTACATAAGACAGTAAAAAGAACAAGAGGAATATTTAAATTTTGCAAGACTTGGAAATTTACTTAGTGCTTTGGTGAATTTGAATTTCTACTTAGAAGATGAGTGCAGATTTATGAACTAGAAATCATTATGATTTGATACATGGCAGTTTGAAAATTAGTGCAGTTTAAATTCAAATTTGTCGGTGAACGGTCAAACAAACATCAATCAACTCCTCTTCTGTAATTCACTGTAAACTGAACAGAGAAGAAAACTCATGGAGAACTGAATGGAACTGAACTTAATTTATAGATTTAAAAAGTTTGCTGAGCTGGATTAAGGTGATATTACTCTTTTGACCTACAACAGCCACCTTAAAAGAATCTTGAACTCATTCTTCACTCAATTTGAATTTCATTTAATGGATGATTTGAAGAAAATAAAAGCATCAATTTCTTGCTTACTTGTGCCTGGCTGGTAAATCCTGAATTGCAACATAAAACTCCTTGTTTGGTGGAATATTCCCATGGTCTCTGGCAAAATTCCGAACAGCACGGCAGAGATGTGGGTACACCCTGAAAAAGATTGAATAAGAAGTTGTAGCAGATCAGATCATTAATTGCTATTCTTAGTATTTGACATATGTTTGCTTCAACAGTTTGAGAATTTCGAGAGTTTTAAAATGCATCTTCTGCATGACTAATTAAAAAGGAACACTTCTTCCTTGGAGTACAACCAGTTAGACCAACTGATGCTTTCTCGATAAGTATTGCAACTTGTTTCCTCTTGAAGTTTTAAGCTTGTAAATGCTGTTTTAATCCAAAATTCCCACTATTTAATTTGTCTATAGACACACAATGCAGTATCTTGTAGCCATAAGCATTTATTTCAAGCTTCATTGTAGATTAGCAGCATTTATTTCACCTGTAAAATTCCTCTTGAATAGTGGTTGCCAGTTGCTGGTTATACTGCTCCAGATCCACAAAGCTTACAGCAAGAGTGTTCCTTTCAGGACGGATTAGCTCTTCAGCATCATGCAAATATTTAACTTCACCATCACTGTTCTGGAATCTGTTAAAGAAAAGGGTTTATTACAAAATCCAAACGAGAATATTTAGCATTCTGGTCTACTAAAGACAGGAATGATATTTCAGTTATAGCAGTGTCTGAAGTTTTAAATGCCGCTTGCATTATCATTACAGGCATGACTAATTCAAATTAAATCACAATAGGTTTCGAATATATTTGAGAGAATATTTGATAATGTAACTTTGTGATGGACCAACTGCTCAAGTAAGTTTCAACTAATCCAACATGATCAAGTGACAACTGGTATAAAACCTCCATCAAACAATCTAGTGCACCCATCTAGTGCAGCCCGGTGCACAGGTAGCTAAGAACACTCGAAACAGGAATAGACAATTCAGCCCTTTGAGCTCACTCTGCCATTTAACATGATCGTGGCTGATCTCATCCTGGTCTCAACTCCACTTTCCTGTCTGCTTCCCACAGCCCTTTATCCTGCTTTTCATCAGAAACGTTATCTATTTTTTCTTGATTCCGTTAATTGATTCTGCCTCCACCGCACTCTGGCAGTGAGTTGCACAGATTCACAACCCTCCAAGAGAAGTAGTTTCTCCTTATCTCAGTTTTGAACCTACCTCCTCTTATTCTATATCTATGCTGTCTTGTTTGAGACTGTCCCAACAAGGGAGAAAATCTGTCCTTTAGCGTTTTATACACCTCAGATCCCCGCTTCGTTCTTATGAACGCCAGTGAGTACAAACCCAAGCTATTCAACTGCTCCTTGTATGGTAGCCTTTTAATGCCTGGAATCAACCATGTGAACAGCCTCTGGTACCACCACATCCTCCCTCAGGTAAGGAGACCAAAACTGGACACAATATTCCAGATACTGGTTCCCACCAACACCTTATTATAATTGCAACACCACTTTACTTTTACTACCCTGTCCTTTTGCAATAAATGTCAGGATTCCATTTGTCATTCTTATTATATGCTGCACCTGCATAACCATTTCTGCGATTCATGCACGAAGACACCCAGATCCCTCTGCACTGATGTGCTTTGAGTCTGCACTACATTTACTTTAGAGGAGATTAAGAATTTACTATTAATATCGTTGCTTAGAATAATCTGAACAGGGTACACAACTCATTAGATTATAAGACACAGGAGAAGAAGTAGGCCATTCAGTCTGTTGGTTCTGTTCCACCAGTGAGACATGGCAAACCACTCTCCCCCAGAGAAACAACTTCTCAACATCTACCCTGTCAAGCTCCCTAGGAATCTTATACTTTTCAGATGCCTCTCATTCTTCTAACTCCTATGAGCACAAGCACAAACACAAATTACTCAACCGTTCCTTGTAAGAAAATCCTTTCATATCTAGTATCAACTTCATGAACATCTCTGGACTGCCTCCAATGCCATTACATGTTTCCTTAGTTAAGGGGACCAAAAACGTTCAAGGTATTTTGGATGTAGTCAATCTAGGACCTTGCATAGTTTTAGCAGACTTCCAAATTTTGTAAAAGGAATATACTATGAATGTAGAAATCTGAAACAAAAGGAAGTGCTGGAGAAGTTCAAGACTGGTAGCATCTGCGAACAGAGCAACAATTAACATTTTAAGTCTGGTATGACTTCAGAACTGCTCAGTACAATATCATGTCCAAAATTCTAAACAGTTGTATCAGACTTGAAATGTTAACTGTTTCTCTCTCTACAGATGCTGTCAGGCATGCTGAGTTTTTCCAACATTTTCTGGGTTTGTTCCCTATTTTTGTATTCCATTGAAAAATATAAATTTTTTCAATAATTTTTATATTTGAAATGAAGCCCAACATACCATTTACCTGCCTTATTACTCTAACCAGTCTGTTAGATTTTGTTCACTCACTTAACCTATCTCACTGCAGACTTCACCTTCACCGATTTTGTGACATTTGCAGAAGCGGCTATAATACATTCACTCCCCTCATCCAGTCATCAACACTGTTAATAATTAAGACCGATCCCTATGGCATTCCATGAGTTACAGGTTGCCATAATGAATATGCCTCTTTATCCCAACCCTGTCTTCTACTGCGTGTACAAATTTCCCCTTCATGAAACCATCCTGACTTTGCTTGATTATTTCATTCATTTCTAACCGCTCTGCTCTTATTTCCTTTATAATAGATCTACATTTTCTAACTCAGAGATAAACAGCCGCCAGTGGAAGCAAAACACTGACCATTATCAGTGAGAACATGTCCCATTACACTCCAAGAGACACCAAAGAACAATGCCTTTCATCACATCAGGGCATTCCAAAGCCTTTCACAGTCAATACATGTGAAGCTAACGGGCCTAGTTCCTTGTATTTTTTGTCTTTTTTTTTTGAATAAAGTTATTACATGTGACTTAGAAATGGTAAGGACTGCAGATGCTGGAAGCGAGTCAACAGATGTGAAGCTAGAAAAGCACAGCAGGCCAGACAGCATCCAAAAGGCAGGAAAGTCAATGTTTCGGGTCGAAACTCTTTGTCAAGACTGGGAAGGGGGAGGGGAGCCCAGAAGTAAATTTTGGGGGAAGGGAAGGAGCTGGACGTGGGATAAGGCTGTGGGTGGATGAATTTTGAAACTGGTGAAGTCAATATTGAGGCCATTCAGCTGTAAGGCCTCAAGGTAAAATATCAGGTGTTGTTCCTCCTGTTTAAGTTTGGCCTCATTCTGACAAAGGAGAAGGCCAAGGAAAGTCATGTTGCCAGGGGAGTGCGAGTGGGAATGGGAATGGGAATTAAAATAGCTGGCAACCAGAAAGTCAGGTTGGACCTGTAGCTAGTTCTTTCATTAGATATCCCTCTATTGGTTTTTAATCTAATTAGTCTCCCTAGCTTGTACTTTTTCTCTAAATGATTGTTATTATATGTATTTATTCTTCTCTTTTTGCCACTGATTAATGGCATTCCAAAATTAAACAATGTCTTTTATCTTGACGAGTGATGTAAAGTCATTCTTCAATTCTGCCATTTCCTCATGCTCTCTTTTTAAAATGTTGAAATCCCAGTCTCAAAAGTGTCCCTTTATTACAAACTCAAAAGATCAATTTGAGTGGGTAAACTCCCTCAGACAGAGAGAATACAGAGTGGAGGTAACCACACAGCTGTGCAGTTTTTTTTAAAAACGATGGCAGCAGTTGGTTATTAATTGCCTTCTGATTGATCTTCTGCTGTTCAGTTAATTGATATTTCTCTTTCTCAGCATGAAAGATCTCATCCTCTTAGTGCTTTGGCCCACGCAACAGCTTCTCCTTGAAGTGGGAGTCAGTCAGGTGTTAGGGAAGTTTTACAGCTGACAGGTCAATCTTTGTCAATGTTGCAATGATAAACTTCTGGTGGACTCTATGCAATTCAGTTGAGAGCCAAAGGATCAGTCACCAGCAGCAGGCCACTGGTTGCCAGCTATTTTAATTCCCACTCCCACTCCCCTGGCAACATGACTGCCCTTGGCTGTCTCCACTGTCAGAATGAGGCCAAACATAAACAAGAGGAACAACACTGATATTTTGCCTTACCTGGTCTGGCCTATGTGTGACTCCAGACCCACAGCAATGTAGTTGACTCTTAACTGCCCTCTGGGTAGTTAAGGACAGGCAACAAATGCTGCCTAGCCAGCAACGCCCTCGTCCCGTGAATGAATAAAGAAGAAAAATAAAATCTCATACTTATACCTGTGGCAACTGGCAAGCATGGTAAGTACAAAGGCAACTTTTGTTCTGGCTGAAAGATTTGGTAACGAGACTAATCCTTTTGCGAGGGACATCTTCAGTGGGGAAATATCATAGCATTTTGCAGATTTTGATGAAATGTGTACCACAATTTTTGTCTCATCCAACTTGCTTGATGATGGAAGGACTTTTTTTCCTTCAACAACCTCTCAATCTTCATCACAGGAGCTTCAATCTCTAAAAGGCCAATGTTCACTTTGGCTTCTCTCTTCCTTGTTATACATACACCTTACAAAAAAGGTGTGTTTAAATCCTGATAGCAATGTGAATTTACACATTCTGGCCACTGAACAATGCTAAAATGTAGCCTAGGAATAATCTTAAAACCTATGAAACAAGATCCCAAATAAAATCCATTTAGGTATTAAGAACAATGAATAATTGAGCTGAATTTTCAAATATGAGCCAAGGGGGAAGAGGTAGTAATTTGCAGTTTGATTTGGGAGACTGGAGCTTTGGTGCTAAAGAGTCTGGAGATATATGTTTGTCCACATGCATTCTAATGATGTTTTGCAATCTCAACTTGAAGACCAAGGGGACCAACAGGTCAATGCTTAATGAAAATTATATTGTCATCTAGTAACAGGGATCTAATGATCAGAACAAACCAGAAATTGTATGAATGTGCCAAAAATGGGTCCCAAGATAGCTAACTTCAGGACTATTACAACAAAATTTAAATGGAGTGATTATTCATTACTCAAAAATGGTCCCTATGCATTTGCTGTCTGTAACCATGAGTCCGTAGCAAGGATCTGCACGTGCCGAGACATAATACTGTGTATAAAAGCAAAATACTGCACATATTGGAAATCAGGGGGAAAAAAAGCAATGCTGGAGCAACTGAGCAGGACTAACTGCATGTGTCAAGGGAGAAACAGATGTTCTGGGTCCAGTATGACACCTCTTCAGAAAGACTTTTTTGCACTTTTGTGTATCTTTCACTTCTTAAGAGTCATTCTGGATTTGATGGGTCAACACTTGCTCTCTCCATAGATGCTGCCAGACCTGTCGAGTTTCTCCAGCAACTTCTGTTTTTATTTCAGATTGCTGGCATCCATAGCTCTTTGCTTTATTCCAGAATTCTCTAGGTTTATTTCATCACCTGGTGATGCACATCTGACACAAGTGGGAGCGTACTCTATTTTCTACTGGTTGATGATAAGGAGGAAGCACAGGGTAGGGATAACTAATGTGGAGCTATGCTGTCCCAGGGTGCCTATGGAGCAATGGACTTCCTTAGGAAGAATCCTTTGCAGAGGGCCATGCCCAGTGTCCAGAAGTAGCTGCTACATGTCTGGAATTTGGTCAAGGTGGTGCACGGGGAAGGGGGTGATGTATACAGCTGCTACAGCACCCTCAGGCATAGCCTCCTGGGCAATCTGAATGGCAGAAGACAGACGGACGGCAACAGGGAGCCCTACATCACACAGAACTTTTGGCTAGTACTATCTTTGGTATTTTCTAATCAATCTGTTCAGAAATGATACAGCACACCTTACGGCGCAGGCGAGACTGACAGCGGCTGTCCATCGCTTGACTGCTCACACATGCGCGCTTTATGCGCCCTCTACAGGTGCCGCTGGCAGCTCAGCTTAAAAGATCCAGGAGATTTCTGAAACTTCAATAAAAACCAACGAGGCGGCAAAAGTTGTTTCGGGCTTTCTGTTGGGGGGCGGGCAGTACAAAGAACGCGCAATCGGCAGTATAATTCGGTGCTGTTGACGGGGATCCTGGTGCAGCAGGGCAGCCGAAGCATGCAGTTTGCGATTACTGAGCCGCTGCGGCTCTGTGCCCCGGGCTGTACCAGCAGCAGCAGTAGCCGCTTACCACGGACCGAGCTATGAGGAAAATCACGTCGCGGAGTGAGTGTGGCTCAGAGTTAAGAGCGCAAACACACCATAGGCCTAACGCGACATGCACGGACTGAAGACACTCTGCAGCCAGTGACACAAGAGTGTCCGGGATTGATCTCCTCAATCTCCCCTCCTGGTACGAGGGCCCCGGAATCGGACCTTAGCTCCTCCCCACCCCATGTACTGACACTCAAAAGTTACCGCTAACTCCACTTACTCCTCTAGGAAATCCTGGAATAGTTTTTGACATTTCTCCGCCAGCTCATCCTTCACCGGCTGCCCGGCGGCTCCTACCGCGGTCTCCGCCAGATCCATCTCGGAGGAAAACAATGTCGGTGAGATTAATAAAGAATCAAACACGACAGCAACCAACCGATTCCTCAGGCGCACAATCCTCGTTTTCGCGCCACTCCAAGTCACGTGCACAACTTTACCCGCCAGGGAACGGCCAATCAGCCAGCCTTTTCTCTGATCACGTGGCCTTCGGGCACCGGCGTCGCCAGCCCCCCAGGAGGCGGGGCAATAGATCTTCGGCCCGGCCAAGGCTCAGTGTTTGCATCAATGAAGATGGCTGCCGCATTTCCCACGGTATCTGAAAACTTTCAGTGGCTCTTAGTGCAGAAAGAAGCTCCTTTTGTATCATATCAACGTTGATTTTATTTCTAAATGTCTTATGGAGTGATGTGGAGGTGCCGGTGTTGGACTGGGGTGGACAAGGTCAGAAATCAGGTAACACCTGAAGAAGGATTGAGGCTCCGAAAGCTTGTATTTTCAGATAAACCTGTTGGACTATAAACCTGGTATAACACAGTGTGGAACTGGAGGAGCACAGCAGGCCAGGCAGCATCAGAGGAGCTGGAAAGTTGACGTTTCGGGTCGGGACCCTTCTTTAGAAAAATTTCCCTGCTCCTCTGATGCTGCCTGGTCTGCTGTGCTCCTCCAGTTCCACACTGTGTTATCTCTGACAACAGCATCGGCAGTTCTTACTATCTCGGACTATAACCTGATGTCGTGTGCTTTCTGACCTTTTGTAGGGAGCATGTACGCTTGGAGGTGAAGCCACTTCAATTGAGGTGTTAGAGATAGTAGGAACTGCAGATGCTGGAGAATCTGAGATAACAAGGTGTAGAGCTGGATGAACACAGCAGGCCAAGCAGCATCATAGGAGCAGGAAGGCTGACGTTTCGGGCCTAGACCCTTCATCAGAAATGGGGGAGGGGAAGGGGGTTATGGAATAAATAGGGAGAGACGGGGAGGCGGATAGAAGATGGATAGAGGAGAAGATAGGTGGAGAGGAAACAGACAGGTCGAAGAGGCGGGGATGGAGCCAGTAAAGGTGAGTGTAGGTGGGGAGTTAGGGAGGGGATAGGTCAGTCCAGGGAGGATGGACAGGTCAAGGGGGCGGGATGAGGTTAGTAGGTGGGAAATGGGGGTGTGGCTTGAGGTGGGAGGAGGGAATAGGTGGGAGGAAGAACAGGTTAGGGAGGCGGGGACGAGCTGGGCTGGTTTTGGGATGCGGTAGGGGGAGGAGAGATTTTGAAGCTTGTGAAGTCCACATTGATACCATTGGGCTGTAGGGTTCCCAAGCGGAATATGAGTTGCTGTTCCTGCAACCTTCGGGTGGCATCGTTGTGGCACTGCAGGAGGCCCAGGATGGACATGTCGTCTGAGGAATGGGAGGGGGAGTTGAAATGGTTCGCGACTGGGAGGTGCAGGCTGCATTTAAAGAGCTGCCACTGTTTCGCCTTGTTACTGTGCCTCCTTTCCAGATTTTCCTCCTTACTTACAGGTGCCAGCATAAATCCAGTCGTTTCTGCTGACCACTTCCGTAGTACTTGGCTCAATTTTATAAGTTGCACTCCTGACAAGTGCAAATTTAAAAGAAACAATGTTAAATGAATCACCTTATCACGTTGCGACAACTAAAACCTACAGTTAGAACAGGTCCTATGGAATTTATCAAAAAAATCAAGACTTTTAAATACTCTTAAATTTGTAAATGAAGCTATTTGATTTAATGCTCTAAGTTCAGAAATGTGTTTGTTTTTTTTCTCTACTACTCTTCACTTACTGCTTCCTTCTCCCTAATCCTTGCTAATGAGAGAGGGATGGTGAGAAGGAAGGGATTGTGAAATATGAAGGTCAGTTAAGGAAGTGCAAGCCAGAGGATCAGGGATCTGTAGGAGCAAATTACTGCAGATGCTGGAGATCACAGCGGGTCAGAGAGGGTCGATGGAGAGACAGCAAGCTAAAGTTTGAAGTCTAGATGTCTCTTCATCAGAGCTGGTAAACTCAATATTGAGGTCATTGGGCTGTAAGCTCCCAAGGTGAAATATGAGGTGTTGTTCCTCCAGTTTACGTTTGGCCTCACTACTCGCCTATCTGCTGCACCCTTCCCACTGACCAACTACAATAACCACCTCCCTGAATCCACCTATCTGCATCTCACCTACCCTCTCCCCACCCCCTCCCCCTCCCCCTATTGATTTCTGGGCTCCCCTCCCCCTCTGCAGTCCTGATGAAGGGTTTCAGCCTGAAATGTGGACTTTCCTGCTCCTCAGATGTTGTCTGACCTGGTGTGCTTTTCCAGCTCCACATTTATTGACTAGCTTCCAGCATCTGCAGTCCTTATTGTCTCCGAGCACACACTGGAGGTGTTCTGCAAAGTGGTCACCACTCCTTGGCCTCTTACCTGCCCTCAGTCTCTTCAATGAAAACTACTGATGTGACATCGGCCGTCTCAATTTCTCTGCTCCTCTCACCCACTCTAACCTGTCCCCGCTCCTCGATATTGCTGGACTTCGCTCTCTCAAGTCCAACCCTAGCTTTGTTGTCAAACCCACCGACAAAGATGGTGCTGTTGTAGTCTGGTGCACTGATCTTTACCTTGTAGAGGCTTAACGCCAACACTTGGACACTTCTTCCTACCGCTCCCTTGGACCATGACCCCACATCTGAACATAAAGCCATTGTTGCCAGAACTGTCACTGACCTCATATTTTCCGGAGATCCCCCCTCCCCACTGCCTCCAACCTTGTAGTCTCCCAACCCTGGTCAGCCCGCTTCTACCTCCTTCTTAAAATCCACAAACCAGACTGCCCCGGTAGGCCCATCATATCAGCCTATTCCTGCCCCACCAAGCTCGCTTCCTCCTACCTTGACTCCACCCTCTCTCCACATGTCTAGACCCTGTCCATCCATATCTGCGATTCCTCTGATGCCCTCCACCATATTGATAATTTCCAGTTCCCTGGCCCTAACTGCCTCCTGTTCACCATGAATGTCCAATCCTTCTATACTTCCATTCCCCCACCAGGATGGTCTGCGAGCTGTCAGCTTCCTCCTCGACCAGAGGCTTGAGCATCCACCACCACTCTCCTCCACCTGGCTGAACTTGTTCTCTCACTGAACAATTTCTCCTTTCGCTTTTGCCAAGTCAAAAGGAGTGGCTATGGGCACCCACATGGATCCCAGTTATACCTGCCTCTTTATGGGGTATGTGGAACAAGTTCCAGTCCTACACTGGTCCGTTCCAACAACTCTTTTCTCGGTACATCGACAACTGCTTTGGTGCTGCTTCTTGCTCCTGCCAGAATGTTGAAAAATTTGTTCATTTTGCTTCCAATTTCAACCCCTCTATAAGTTTCACGTTGTCCATTTCCAACACTTCCTTTCCTTTCCTTGACCTCCGTCTCCAAATCGGGGAATAAACTGACCACTGCCATCCATTACAAAGCCACTGACTCCCATAGCTACGTTCACTATAGCTCTTCACACCCCATATTCTGCAAGGACTCCATTCCATTCTTCCAGTTCCTTCACCTACATCACATCTGTTAGGATGGTGCCACATTCCAAAACAGTGCTGCTGACATGGCTTACTGCTTCCATAACTGTGGTTGACAGGGCCCTCAACCCAATCCGACCTATCATCTGTGCTTCCGCCCTTGCCCCTTCCCATCACTCACAACAACGTGATCAGGTTTCCCTTTGTCCTCACTTTTCATCCCAACAGCCTTTGCATTCAAAGAATCATTCTTTGCCATTTCAGACAACTCTAGCAAAATGCCACCACCAAATACATCTTCCCCTCACTCCCCCCCCCCCCACCATTCCCCCCCCCCCCCCCCCCCCCCCCCCCCCGCCGTCTGTATTTCACAGGCAACATTCCTTCTGAACACCATTGTCCATTCCACAACGACCAACACCATGACCCTTTCCCATGTAACTGTGGAAGGTGCAATACCTGCCCCTTCATCTACTCCCTGCTTACTCTCCAACTGCTTAAACCAGTCTTTCTCGGTGAAGCAGCATTTCACCTCCACCTCCTCCAATCTTGTTTATTGTATTCGCAGCACCACGTGGCCTACTCTGCACTGGAGAAACCATTTGCAGACTGGGTGACCGTTTTGCAGAACACCTCCAGTCTGTGTGCAAGCATGACCCTGACCTTCCCATAGATGATCATTTCAACAGTGTTCTGCTCACATGCCCACTTGTCTGTCCTCAGCATGCTGCAGTATTCCAGTGAATCACAGCTCAAACTTGGTACATTCGCTGTCACCATGTCCTCTCTCCCCTCCCCTTGCCCAAGTGGGACAGTCTTCTCTTTCAAGTCTAGCAGTTAGATACACCATTGTTCTGCCATTCACAATCTGATCTCTTAATTTGAACTAGCAATATCTTTTTTTCCCCAACAGCGCGCCACACCCCCCACTACCACATACCCACCCCAACTATAGCGTAAATGCTGTCCCCTCCACACTTCACTTAGGTCTGATGAAGAGTCATCTAGACTCAAAACGTTAGCTTGCTGTCTCTCCCTGGATGTTGTCTGATCAACTGTGATCTCCAGTGTTTGTTGTTTTCAGTCAGATCAGAGATCTGAATGGGCAGCAGACAGGTGGATCGGTACCAGTTGGGTCATGTGAGTTTGATATGAAATTATGCGAAAATAGAAATTACAAAGTGAAATGTGCATAGTAACTCGAATGAAACAGGGACGTACTAGATTGGCAGTTCAAGCTGCAGTCCTGCTGGTGCAGAAGTCATCCAACGTGTTTTAAAAAAATTACATCACATGGCACATGAAATGAGGGAGCAGGAATAGGAGTGCAAGATGAGAAGCTCAAAGCGCTTTTAATTAAAGACTACATTTTACAAAGTGTACCTGTTCCATTTAAGCTAATTGACGATGCCAGAGAAACTAGTTGTGCCATTTACTGTTCAAAAGATGTGGAGGTGCTGGTGTTGAACTGGGTTGGACAAGGTCAGAAATCTCTTTCACATATAAATTCTGTGTCTGATGGCACCTCTCTCACTATCACATGAAGGCGGCCTGAGGCTCTGAAAGCTTGTGTTTTCAAATAAACCTTTTAGACTATAACCTGGCGTCGTGTGCTTTCTGACCTTATTTAAAGATTTAACAGCATCTTAGGTTTGTGGAATACATTCTCAACAGTTGTGACCCTTTGATCTTTTACTTATAAATTGTGTTTGCGTGCTTCACCTGAGGAAGGGGCAATGCTCTGAAAGCTTGTGTTTTCAAATAAACCCTTTGGACTATAACCTGGTGTTGTGTGATTTCTGACCCTCTTCAAAGGGTGCAATTGGTTGACTGATTTACCACCAGATGACTTGAAGTCTGAAATCTGACATGGCGTGGGTCTATTGATGTGCATTCTTAAATTGCTGTCCCATTTCAAACCTATTATTAGCACTTACATTTT